ACCGGGCCTACAGGCAGCTGTTTCCTGTGACTTGGACTTTCCTCTTGCCCCCTTCAAAACATTTGCCAACTCACCTGCTCTTTTGCTCTCCTTCCCACTGTTCCCGGCAGCCTCGCGCTGCTCCCTCTCTGATTCACAAATTCCTAATGCCCAAAGGGATCGGCGGGATCTCTGGCTTGGCCTCCCAAGCGGTGGAGCGCTGCCTCCCTCAGGGCCGTGGCAGCTCTCTGCTTTCTGCTTGAGACAGCCCAGCTAAGCTTGGGAATAATGAAACAGCAAAACAATCAGGTGTGCTGGTCTAGTGATCTCTCTACTGAAAGTCTGCCCTTTTATTTTGCCATTTGTATCATTAGGTTTAGGTTTTAGGTTTTTTAGGTTTAGGTTTTGCCATTTGCATCATTAGGTTTAGGTTTTGCCATTTGCATCATTGGGTTTAGGTTTTAGGTTTTTTAGGTTTAGGTTTTGCCATTTGCATCATTGGGTTTAGGTTTTAGGTTTTTTGGGTTTAGGTTTTCTGCTCAGCCAGGTTAAAGAGCCCCCTCGTGTCCAAACCTGCATCTCCGTGTTGGCAATGCCAGCCTGTGCTCCAGTCAGGCTGCCCGAGCTCCTTGCATCTTATGGTGCCAGGCAGCTTCTCCAGGMCGCAGGTCACCCTGTTGCTCCCTTCTTGAGTCCTTCTAGTATCTGGTGTCTTCCTTTTGCTGGAGTGTAGCTGAGTTTACAAGTGTTTATGTGTTATGTGTCTTCTATACAACCCTACTGTGCTGTATACAGCACAATTCATCTGCCAACTCGATGACCCCAGACTAATGCACCCAAGTATAACCCATCCCCACAGYGGAAGAAGTATACAAAACAAAAAGGATCCCCAAGCCTGGTTAATTTGCTTGTCTCGCAATTCCCAAGTTCTTTCTTGGAATCCCTCTAGAGTTTCCAGAAAAGAGTCCTCCATCTTCAAAGAGCACAGATTACATTTATGTTCCCAGGTGAATGYCTTTTTGCATTTAGTACAGCCAAAAATAGTTATTCTTTATAAATAAGCACCATACCAATGGATACAGACAGCTCTGCACTGTTCATCTTTTTCTATCATTTATCACCTTCATCTTTCCTTGTGTCCTCTGAAAGCTTCATCAGCRCTAGTTTAATACCTTCTTTCAGACCATTAATCAAGATAATAATGAGCATTAGTTTCAGAACAGCATTTGACTAKTAATACTTCCCTATGTTGAGAATTCTTTTTTTCCCCCTTCATTGCTTGAAAACCATCAGTAAACTAGAATTTGTAATGTAGGTTCCCTTGTTGTTTTAATATATGCATTTTAAAAGAGAATCAGAGAATAGTTTTGTGTGATTAAGTTAGACACCTGGTGCTAGCATAACTTCAAGCTTCTGTATTGCTTCGGTTAACCCAAGCCAYGATCTCATTAGAAAATAGTACAGTCAATGGACAAGAACAGTTTTGAGAAGGTGAGAGCCAGGACATCATAACTGTCTTAAAAATAAACAAATCAAAACAAACGAACAAGCAGACCCCTCCATTTCCAGTCTTTTACTTTAAGTTAATATGAAGKTAAGTTGTTTACAGTTGTGGATATTGTCTTAGTTACTGTTTATAAGTGTTGGCATGAGGTTTGCTTTCCCAGGCCTGTCCTGTTCCCCAGTGTTCTACAGTGCTTGGGAAAGGTGTGGAGCACTCCAGGGCTTCCAAAATAAAAATGTTTAAGGATTAAGTTCATACATAATTGCTAAAACAACTCTTATTTTCATGATAAAATTTTCAGATGTGGGAAACTTTAGCTTTTTGTTTGCTGTGTATTAGTGATTAAGATTCTATTTGATTTGTCTGCAGCTAATGTACTCTCATTGTGGGTTGTTACCCAGCTCATCCATCTTTCTGCCAGTGTTTCCTGTTTCCCTCCATTACACCTCATTGAGCCTACCTAATCTTCTCTCTCTATTATTCTTTATTTTATTTTTGCATGGCAGCCCCCCTTTTCTCACTCTGGGTGCCCTACTTAAAGTCTCATTTCTTTGGCAAGACCCATAAATATCACTGCACTGCACTGCACTGCTCTGGTGCTTCAGCAAATCCCATTTGAAGCTGATAGTTGTGGGAGAAAGGTGTAAGCGTTGCCTCAGGTGGGTAAGGATTGCTTGGAAGCCTCTTGCACCTCGCACAAACCTCAGTTGTTTGGCTTTCACTTTGGGAACACGCAGCCTCRCCTTTCTCCATTCTGCTGTTATCACAGAAGTTTTCATAGACGCCTCRGAAACACGGAATGAGATGAACCCCAGCCCTGCAGCTTGTCCTGACACAACACGGGGACTGCTCCTACTTGAGACCGTAATGAATGTGACATTAAGGGGGGGATACAAACTTAATGGGGATCTAAATGCAGAAGTTGGAGTGGTTTAATTAAAAGCAGTTTTCTACTTGTGTGGGCATTCTTGTTTTCAGGCAATTCAAGTTAAACAGTGCAGTGCACCTTCTGTGCACCCAGGCTACACCTGCTTCCTTAAAACTATTTATTGTTTCTCACAGACYGTCTATAGACGGCAGAATAACTGAATGTTCAAGTAGAGCCTTTTGTTGGCACCCTGCAGTGCTCTGCACGCTCTTCTGTTGGCTTCTAACACCCTCCTTCAGCGATCAGTTGGTCTATTTTCATCAGACTTGGCCACTGGCTGAAACGAAAGCCCCAAGCACAAGCAGTACCGACTCGGCAAAACGCAACGGTGACAGCAGATCTTATTTCCAGGGAGATACAGATCTGTCACTTTTCTTCTCACCTTCACGTTCTTTCTTCTCCACAGTCGCCCAAACCATTGATAGGGAAGCGTCGCCGGGCCGGGATCAATGCCAGCCTGGGGCAGGTGAGAAGGCTTCTCCAGCAGACCCCAGAGCAGCGGGCAAAGATCTGCCTTCGCTGGCTGCAGAAGTCAGAGGGAGCTTTATTATCYCTCTTCCTTCAAAAACAGCCTGCTGCTCCCTGGAGTCAGAGGTTCATGTATTGCCATGATCTGCAGACTGGCAAAACAGAAAACCCTCCGATATGCTCCTTTTACTTTATCATTCAGAATCTCAAATCCTCTCTCCTGGGCTCCTGCTTTTGCTTTYCAGCCTTAACATGTTAAAAGCAAATTTTATTAAATACCTTTTTTTTTTTTTCCCTCTCTTTCTCTCTCTCTCTCTCTCTCCATTTCTCTGGAATACTAGAGCCTTGTCATGCCTGGAGAAGGCTGAGATCTTGGGAACGACTGTCCAGCAGTTAGCAAGGCTCAAGAAGCCAGGTAAATCACTCTCCATAACCTCTACCCGAGGGAAAGAGCACACAGTGGTTCAAAATCAAAAGTGGTTCAAAATTGGGGTTGCACCTAAACAGGCAGAAGGGCAGAATCCAGATAAAACTGTGTCTCCGAGGAAGTAGCACTYGCTCACGGGCCAGTCCAGTTTGTGGCAGTCGCTGCTGGAACAAGTCACGGCGCTGACGTCACTGCTGCCACMCTCCTGGCTTTGCTCTGTGCCAAAGATAACTGGATGCTCACATCTGAAAGCTCAGGGAACTCCTCCCGCACTACGTCCGTCTCCCTGTTCCCCTTCTCAGGCACCRCCTCGACGAAGGGCCCGGACTTTGCTGGGGCTGCTGCCACTGGCTCGATGCCGCGAGCACCTTGCTAAGCTCAGCTGCTTCTTCACCAGATCGAAACACCAGACCCCTCCTCTTGTGTCAGCTTGACACTACCACGGAGGCGAAGGACGCTTTTGCTCCAGCTCCTTCTCCCAAACTCTGGCAACACCAAGGTGACCTGTCCTCCACTAAATCTTCCCAAGGCCCTACCTTTCTCCATGTAGCTTCTCCCTCAGCCACCCTTTCTTCAGGACCTGCCTTGGTTATGGCATCTCCAGAGACCCAAYTCCCTGCCAGGGGGGCAGCTGACTTCTCCTCCTCCAACACTTACTTCCCTGTGTCAGCCAAGTTTCCTCCCTTCGCTTTCCCAGATGCTGGAAACTGCAACCCCCTGGGGAGGCCCTGGTGAGCTGTCACCTAAAGAACAGGACCATAACCTCATYGGGGTTTTCTGGGGTGCAGATCAGACTGTGGGAGTGGGGACAGAGCCAGCTCTCTGCTCTGCGCTTCCCTGAAGGGAAGCCTCACCATGTGAAGGGAAGTTCTCACCATGTGAGAACTCCACATGTTAAAGGGCCAGATTCTACACCCTGTTTGCAAGGCAGGAGAATTGCTACCCAGCAATGCTTCTGTCCTTCTCTTAGAGCTCAGATGTGGAGCATGGGAATACAGAGTAATATTCTGGCACAGCATGTGCAAGGGGTAGATCCAAGTCATGCATCATTTCCCTTGTTCTGTTCCAAATACGTTCATGAAAAGGTTTACAGAGCCGTGCCGGCTGTAGCAGGGCACTGCCGCACGAACCCAGGAGATCTTTCTAGCGCCGCGTTCCTAATAACTGCCTTTCTAAATAATGCTTCCGAAGTTTCACCTAATACTGAAGAAGACAGGACCATTAATAACAGCCTCCAACAACAGCAGCGTGAGTCGCAGAGAAATAATAGGAAAATAGTGGAGATACTCCCCAGATTGTGCAGAAATGGTACAGATCGCCGAGACCCACTCGGGGCTGCGCAGGGGGACCGGGAAGCAAAGACCACCAGCAACTGCCCTTGGAGGGCCTTGTGGAACGGCACCAATGGAAGGGTATTTTTGCAAGCGGTGGGTTCCTGGGTTTTCTTTAGCAACTTTGGTGTTGCTGCTGAGCACCATTTCTTTGTTTTGTAACTACAGGGGAAGGGATTTACAGAGGGAAAAAACCCCAAAACTTAAAATTAAACACTAAATTTCTTTCTGATTTCCCAAGGACATGACAGAGGTTAGTTTCACAGCGGGCATAGTTAGAGTAGCAGAAGGCAAGAATTGATCCAACAGCTCTTTACAGTTTGTTTCTTTATTCAGTAAACATCTAGTTACAAGTCTCACAAATTAAAAAAAGAGGGYGAGCTCGCTGAATAGGGGCCGGGGGACGAAAGGCTGGTCCAGCTTTTTTTTCTGTTCCTCCCTTCCCTACCACACACATCCTGCTGCTTCTCCACAGCTGCACCAAGGAGCAGGAGGGCAACAGAAGCCTTTGCCCCAGCGAGGGGATTAACAGGGTTCTAGCAGAATTTCTTCTTTTGCTTCACGGGGGACTAGACACCAACTTCAGAACCAGCCTCACCCAGCACAGAGAGAGTGGGAAGTATGGAAGAGGAAGGCAGCAGCTTCTCATGCCCACCACTAATGGCAGAAAGAACAGAACCGAGGGAGAGCGGGAAGGGGACGGGCCACGACTGCCAGTGAGATCCTCCCTGCCCCGCGGCGGCGCCCGAAGCGGGCAAGAGGAGCAGTGCAGGTTAGTTGCTTTGTTTYGATTCTTAAAGGTGGAGGGAGGGGGGGGTTAATATTAAATTTGAGGAGGGTCCAAGTGGTGCTTTGAAGGGGCTGCAGAGTTTCACTGTACCTGGGAGTAAGGGAAACAAAGGGAGAATATAAAGAGTCAGCGGTGGTTAGAAGGCGGCACAGAAGACGAAGACAAGTTTAAGCCTGAAGTTTAAGGAGCGGAAACAAATCCCCAGTTCCAAGCACTAGACCACAGCCTAGTGAACCCAATTCAAAACACAGGAGAGTGACACCAGCAACTGTCTGCCCTTCCTAAACCCATCTGGATTCCACCTTTAAAAGCTGGTGGACTACAGATGGGCTCCTAGTTCCGCACAAGGACATCAGCTCGTTGCCACAGAACGCGATTCCCACGCAAACACCAAGCATTTCTGCTACCAGCTGAGGCTGATGCCACACTTTTCCTCCCTTGAAGACAAAGCTCACYTAAAGAGCTTCCACCTTCCCCATTCAAACCCCCTCATCTTCTCTGCTCTCCAGATTTTTGTGGGAACATCCATTTCCAGCCCAAACGGCAGAACAGTATGAGACTGGGACAACAAAGGGAAAACTCATCTGGCTAAGAGGCACCCATGCAGCGGAAGACGGGCAAACGTTGTTAAGACTTACAAGAGTGTGCAGGTAGATTTGGGGGTGACAACACGGCACCCCCCACAAAGTCTGCTCTGCCTTCACCAGTCGTAGCGACGGGACTGTCTGGAAGGGGAATCCTCCGGGCCCTGGATGGCGAGACGAGCGCCCTCGGCCCGGCGGCCGCCGCTGCCGTCGTGGCGCCGATACTCCAGGCCCCGCTGCGGCCGGAACCGGGACGTCTCTCGCCTCCATTCGTCATCAAAGGCGGCCGCGTCGCCTGCGCCATGGAAGAAAGAGAGAGCAGCCCGGCTGGGGAGAGCTGGGAAAGCGGCATCCGAGGCCGCTGAGGAGAGGGACGCAAGGCACTCACTTTCATCCATGTTGATGTAGTCCTGCCTCTCCTCCTGGTCACCCGTACGATGGTTCCGGGATCGCTGCATGATGTGGGCCCGCTCCCTGATGTGGTGCCCGATGGACATTTGCTCCAGGCCGCTGTCCGAATCCCTCACAGTCCGCCTAGTCTCACGGATCTGTGAAAGGATTCCCATAGAGAAAAGCATTGTGGCTCATCCCGCCCAGCCCCATGAGGCGCTCCGATTCCTTCCTGCACCACTTCAGTCACACACCGCCGCCACCACTCCCAACGTGTCAGAAGCAACATAATAAGAAGGGAAAGGCAGATTCCCCCCCGCCACTGCTTCCTCTCCCCTCCCAGCGGCCCTGAGCAGGGCTCAGGGAGTCACGGCGCGTCCCTCACACAGCCCCGGGCGCGAGGCAGCGACGCTGCGGGTGGCAGCAGCAGCAGGCGAGGGAAGCTCGCCCGCCCCGGCGGAGGCGCCGCCGCGCTCCCCTCTCCTCCTCACCCCGCCCGGCGCCGAACGCATCTCCGAGGTCTCCTGGTAGACTTTGGGCCCATCACCCAGGTTGGAATAGGAGATGACAGTTGAGGAAGTGAATGTCTGGCAGTTGCCTCCACTTGTCATGTGCTCCTGAAAGAAGAAATGGGGACAAGTGTAGGGGGAAGAAGGGATGCCAGTTGCTTCTCTCTCGCTAAAATGAAGTGGTATGGAAATTACATATGGGACGAGTATACTCTCCACGRGTCCATCTTCCTGAAGAATGCCTCTTCCTACTAAATTCCTTCTGACTAAGTCTTCCCCTGCATCTCTTCCCTCCCCTCCCCGCGCCCTGCCAACACGTTCCGGGATCAGCCCGTTGCTGCTCCAGCCTGGAGAGCAGGCTGGACTTGCAGCTTCTGCCTCCTCGGCGGCCTGGGCACTGGCAGTATCCAAAAAGCAAAAGAAGATGAGAGACAATAGAGAGGGCAGCAAGAGCACCCTCAGTGCTGCTCTTAATACAAATATTTTTTGGGGGGGTTCTTACCATATTTCCAATCATGTCATTCATCATTCCAAACATATCCATGAAGCCACCTGCCTGAGAAGGAAAATAGAGTACAGGAACAGTCAGCTCCAAAGGATACAGGAGGAAAGTACAACAAACCATCTGCAACAGACACAAAACTGCTAAGAAGAAGAAAAATACTTGATTTCCCCCCCCCCCTTTTTTTTTTCTCACCTCAGTAGGGCAGAAAAGRCAGAGTATGGGGTGGTTCTTCTCCCCACTCTCCCAGGTTTCAGAGTCCAAACTTTTTGTCTCTTAAGACCTCTGGTTAGAGCAAAGGGCATTTTTTTCTTTGAATCTGAAACCTCAAGCACCGGGTTTCCTGCGTCCTCTCACACAGGTTTAGAGAAGAAAACGCAGGACGGGCACTAACACTGCTCTTGACTACAGAACAGCCGTCCTCACGGCGGCTTTAACCGCGTCAGCGTCAACCCGCAATTTAAACCACACAGGTGTTTCTGGGGGGTTGTGTTTGCTCTAATCTAATAACAAGTTCTCKTATTTTCCCTATGAACGCTTGACTGTTTTTAATCTTGTAAAACTAAAGGCTTTGCTAATATACTGGGCCAGCAGGTCTACCAGGTTAATTGTGCAATACGTAAACARAATTACAGCGTCAGCTTAAACTTGCTGATTTTTTATTTTGAGGAGCATCTCGTTCGTGTTTTCAGAGAACCAGCAATCACGTGCGTTATTATCCTCCAAGGCCTATTAATCCTTCTTAGAGCTAGAGCAATTCCAGGATGCTTAACCTTTCTCATTGAGGCAATGCTGCAGAGCAAGGCAGCCTAAGTTATGAAATCTGGAGTAACCCCTTGACACTGCATTTCAGAGGATGACAAGACCCAAGCAAGGCAAAAACAGCGCTCGCTCTCATGTACAGACATGCCCGCTCTGCTCCTGTCCACCTGAAACATTCCGGTGGCTTTTCCATCTTCCACTGCTGGTCCATAGTCAACGAGGATCAACGATCACCTCTGCCTAATAACGGCCGAGTCTTCTCCTTGAGCAGTGGCAGTTCCTTGAGGAGCTCCAAACCAATCTCCTCAGTCTTCCAGAGGCATGAGGTTAATAAAAGTCTGTCTGTTCTCCCTAGATATTATCTGTCCCTTTCCCTATCAAGCACTATGGTGTAACAGCTTTAGAACTCTTCTCTACTTGAGGTTCAAACACAAGCCCTCTATAAACAGAGTAAAAATCTCTGCCTGAGAACAGCTCATAGATTGACTAAAACATTAGAGAGGAAACAAGGGACGTGCCTGAAGTTAGACAGCAAGTCAGTGAAAGAGCTCCAAGAGAAACTGTCTGCTTTTGGTTTTACTTCAGCACTTGCTTCCCTATTCCATTTATTATAAAGCTGAAGCTCCCTCTGGAGTGCTCACCTTCCACCTCACTGCCTGTTCAGACAGCCTGTCTTGGTCACCGGTGATGCATCTCAGCACTACTTGCACTGAGCACCTCCTCAAAAGAGCCACTAGTTGTAAAGCCTCAAACAAGGTCTAGTGACCTTATGAAACTCAATGGACTGGAAGAGTGGCCCAAATTCCATCTTCTTCCTTTCTTTCAGCAGGACAGAAAAGAACTCAGAGGACTCACCATGCCCAGCATTCCAAAGGGTGAGACAGCTCCTGCCTGCTGGGACAACAGAAAAACAGGATTACTTTATGACAACTAGCTATTAGAACCTCCACAAAGCACCCTCATTTTTGGAAAAACGACTGGTAACAGAAAGACAAACAAACAAAAAAAAAAAAAAAAAAAGAGAGAGAGAGAATATAGTGCAAACTATACCCCCCTTAAAGTGACTTAGAGTTTGAGAAGTCATACCTATCCCCTCCTCCCGCTGCCCCTAGAACACAGCTGCCAAGCAAAGCGCGAAGGGACGCGGTGCAGAGACAAGGCACGGGAAGAGAGCGCCGCGGGGCACGGCAGCGCCGTGGGGCGCCCCCTTACCTGCATCCTGCGCCCGCCCTGGCGGGCGCCGGGCGCCGAGCCGTCCGTGATGCCGAGCAGCGGCCCGAAGCCGAAGCTCCCGGAGAGCATGCGGCTCATGTGCTGCCGGTGGATAGCGAAGGGGTCCCTTCAGGAGCGGCGACAGAACAGGAATGAGGGAGGGGTGACAGAACAACAAACCCAAATTGGGCTCCCGCCCAGGCTCCCAGGCGCTCCTGAGTAAATGTGACTGCATTTTCCTCTCCGRGGTGAGGGCCCAGAAGCCCAAAAACTTAAGTGTTGGGTAGGCTAATCCTTGGGACTGCCCAYTGATCCCATCCTGCTGCCCATTGCTTCAGGTACCTCATCCTAAAATCCTTCCCAGGCACTAACAGACCTCTGTACGGAAACAGCTACTACTCTAGTAGTAGTTCCTAGTAGTTCCTACTAACAAACTCCAAGGCCACACACGGCTAAGGCCATCCCAGAGCCCTATGGCTCTAGCAGACAAAAGCCACCTCTCAGCTGGGCAGCTGAAGCGTCACCATCCTTCCATCCCCATTGTTTCCTGTGCCAACAAGACCACCACTCCAACAGCTCCGCTGAATGTGTCAAAGGCTTCTAGAGGGGAGCTCTGCTTTTTGCAGGGAGCTGCATGAATTGCTCCCTCACCACAGGGTCTGAGCGTGCACAAACACCCAAGCAGAAGACCGAAACCTTCAGAACAGGGAAAAACTAAAACTGTCATGGAAGACAGAGAACATAATTTAAAAAAAAATCCTTTTTTTTTTTTTTTTTTTTTAAAGATTCCTTTGCACTTGTCATAGTCTGGATGTATCCTTCTTGAGTACACGTAACCTGCAAAGTATTGTGCTCCTGAGATCACAAGAGCACCTGGTACAAACCAATACTTTTCCCCCTCTCTGCTGGAAACACTTTGCATAATAAAAGCTAGACTCATCCCTGCCGCATCAAGGGGAACACACAGTCATTCCGTGACTAAGTGGGACATCAAAGCTTTTCTGCTAATTTGGTTACAGCTGATARAACTCTGGCTTTAGCACCAATTTTATAAGCAAAAAGCCTGACTTCGTGTTTCTACATAAATTAACCTAATTTCCAGCTGTCCCATGCTTAAGATAACCAAATTCCTACCATATTACACTGCACCCCCTACCTGCTCTGACAAGAACCACCTCAAGTTAGTGTCACTGCCAAGTTCAACCAGCGGCATTCCGTTTCTGCAGTGTGCACCGAGACAAGAACATTCTCCGGCCCGAGTCCATCGTTCTTGCAACGTCTGCTACATCCCGATACTCATAGCCCATTTTCAAACTAGTTGTTTCCACCTTCTCTGCACTCTGGCTCCCTGCAGCTTCCCGAGGGCTCCGGCAGTCTCCTGCAGCTCCACGGAGGGTTCCCGGGTGGGCCCCGGGAACAAACGGGGCGGCGAGGCGGGTTCCGTGCCCCGCGCTCCCCGTTCCCGCAGGGCTGCGGGGCGCAGGCCGCGCTCCGCCCCACACGCGCCCCGCGCCGGGAAGCGGCGCCTTCCCGGGGGCAGGGGGGCCGCTCCAGGGGCCGCCGCTCCAGGGGCCGCCGCACTCACATGGCGAAGAGCGGGTCCTCGGGCTCGCCCTCGCGCAGCAGCCGGAACATGCTGCCCTGGCGG